TTTGACACCTTTACACTACATCTTTTGAGTATGGGCTTCTTTTGCAGTCAAGCAGACTCCTCATTGTTTGTCTCGCATAATCCTCAAGGAACAGCCTTGCTACTTCTATATGTTGATGACATTGTGCTCACGGCAAGCTCGGATGAACTACTACAGCGTATTATTGACAATCTTAGCCATAAATTTGCTATCAAGGATCTTGGCACTCTTCGATATTTCTTGGGTATTGAAGTCACTAGCTTTCCTGGAGGAATTTTTCTTTCTCAAGCTAAATATGCTCGTGACATTCTTACTCGTGCTTTGATGCTAGAAGCCTCTACTATTTCTACTCCATTAGCCATAAAGGATCCTGTTACACTACGCGATAATGAGTTAGTTGATGAACATGAATACAGAAAGATTGTGGGAGCCCTCCAATATCTCACCATCACTAGAATTGATCTTTCCCATGCAGTAAATAAGGTGTGCCAATTCATGCAAACTCCTACTCTTGCACACTTACGCCAAGTTAAAAGGATCCTACGATATGTTAAAGGATCTCTTCCTTATGGACTTCGTTTCTCCACATGTAGTACCTTGTCCTTGACAGGATTCTGTGATGCCGATTGGGCAGGATGTGCTACTACAAGAAGAAGTACCACAGGCTATTGCATTTTCCTTGGAGCTAACTGTATTTCATGGGCCTCCAAAAAGCAACCAACTATAGCGCATAGTACTGCTGAAGCTAAATATCGTGCACTAGCATCGACAACAGCTGAACTAGTTTAGATTACCTATCTACTTCGGGATATTGGGGTGTCTTTACATTCACCTCTTCAGTTGTTCTCTGACAACATAAGTGCATTGCATATGTCCATCAATCCTGTGTTTCATGCCCGAACCAAGCACATTGAGTTGGATTATCACTTTGTTCGGGAAAAAGTTGCATTAGGAACACTTATTACCAAACACATCCCAAGTGCAGAACAAGTTGCCAACATTCTTACCAAACCCTTACCTCGACAACAATTTCAATTTTTAAGATTCAAGCTAGGAGTGGTTGCCTCACCCCACTCCAGCTTGAGGGGGAGTATGGAGGAGAATGAGCAATCACAGTATAAGAAAGTTAGTGGAGTTAATCAAGGAATTAGGAAGACA